TGAAGCAACAGTATATCCAGGATCTGCAGGGATGCTACTGTACAATTTCCGTATGGTCTGAGGATGAGGCAAAGCCAAGAGAAACTTCTTTCTCACATATTCATAGGCCTTTGGAGAGTAGAAGTGCAGTGTAGTTGCGAATTGCTTCATGTTTTCGGAAAACACAGACTTTTTCTTCTTTTGGATTCTCTGAAATATCTCCCGGGGAACATCATCCAGGCTTTCAAGAAGAGAGGCACATTCACTTGAAATTATAAGTTTCTTCTGAAGCACTTTGATTACACCTTTCAAGGAAGAAACTCTTGCCTTAAGTCTCCTTGTCTGTTGCCTTTTCAACCTCAGCTGTTTGCGAGCTACACATAGCTTGTCCTTTACCTCATAAGCTTTCCTTTTAAGTGTTTTCGGAGACTCTGAAATATAGTAGCAGTGATCACTCAAAGAACCAAAGTGTGATTGTTTTCCACTCCGATTTGTGTGTTGAACGCTGCTACCCAAACCAAAATCCTCACACACATTCGCTGTCAGAGTAATGTCATCATGCAGGACATCTTGAGCAACAAAGGCCTGTTCAAATGTGTCTTCCATCATCATGACATTGCTCTGATTGACAGCATGGCTGTTGGCATTACTCCTATTGTCTACATATGCAACCTCCTCATTACTATTTACAGCTGATATAGGGATGCCACTTACCACCTCATCAGTACTTACCAAGCGTCTTCTTTTTGGCTGTTGTTCTTTGCCCTTGGAGAAAGAGAAAATGGTTGGCACAGCGGTGTCCTTCAGGCATGTCCTTCCCTAATAAAAATTACAAAAGGCATAAAAAATAAGACATTATTGGTCATATTGGCTGTAAATGACTGTTATTCATAACAGAGATGTATGCATTTATTTTTCGTTAATTGGTCTAACACTAGCATGAATGTACAGATTACATTTTCAAATTATTATTGCTATTAAAAGAATATGTAACTGTTTGCAATAACTGTCACTACAGAATCATTCTGTGTTCTGCTGTCTCGCTTGGAGAACATTTTTTCAAACATGAATTGCACATTTTTTTATTTAATTTTTTTTTTTTATGGTATTTGCATAAAAGGTAGGGCTGCACAATATATCAAAATTATCAAAATATCGCAAATGTATATATCACGATATGCATACCACAGCAACTTGCAATAACTGGGGTCATGAACAAAAGACAAACAGAAAATAACTCACTGCTCTTGGCTAAATAATTTTTGTAGCTTTAATAAGAATCAGTCAGTGTATATCTAATTCATACAGTGAAAACTAAGCAGTGTTTTATTTTTATATTTGATTATTCAGTTTCTGTTGTTAAATAAACATAATGTAGGATATCACCTAAAACTCTAAACCCCGTGGTTTACACTGATGTTAAAATAACACTTCTTATGCTGCAGTAAAACACTGCTGTTCACTGTCAGAAGTTGTAGGAATGTTTTCTTGTCAAAAAAATAATGTGAACACATGTAGGTTATATAATTTTAAATATATTTTAAAGATAATTTAAGTTTATTTTACACACTTTAAGCATTATCATCGAATATCGCATTATTTAATGAGTTATCGCATATCACATTTTTCTTCAGTATGAATGTATGATGGTCAATACTTCACCAATTTCAACCAATATGTTGCTTGACTCTTTGTAAGGTATGAAACGAGGTGTCTGTACCCTGGAGTCAGTGGTGAAGTGATGACTCTCAAAATGTTCACTGCACAGACGAGAATCCTTGTTAGGAGTCCAATTCTGTCGTTTCATGTTGAGCATCCACTGGTCCAGCCTGAGATGTTCTGGATCACCTAGAGGAAAACTTTACACAAACAAATAGATAGTTACCTCCTTCACAGACTAATGTTACTTTACATGCAAACAATATAACTTAAATTGCAGTCCAAGGTTGTAATAAATGTCTTTAGCTTAAAAATTTGTGGCGGACATCAAAGTCCTCATTCTGTTTCGATGTCATGTCTATTGAGTAATTACAGGCTTATTTCCTACACATATCTTTGAGGACATGTCAAATACTTCCAATATAGTCAGTGCATGTTAGTAAATGTTACGCTATTTATGAAATGCAGGCGTAACTTATATGACAACGTTTCAGAGGTTTTATACAGTCTATGGATTCAGCCTACAGCTAATCACAGTCTGTTGGATTCTGGAGTGTAATAAAGTTTTAAATACAATTATAAATAATAAATAAATTATTAGAAAAAAATTAATAAGACGAAATTATATTAGAATTTCACTCACCGGAAAAAATGGAGTCCAAGCTTCTTGGCCGGTCTGTTAATACAATTAACCCCACTGCAAGACATTATAATTGTGAAATAATCCCGAAAAATCGCAAACACTGGCAGAGATGCCAAGTTTAGTGGCTAAAATGTATTTATTTTTACAGTCAGACAAGTAACGTTAGCTGAGGTAACGTGACAGACAGCAGACAAGTGGCTAATGATGACTAAATTAACGAGTCCAAGCTTCTTGGACGAATACAATTAACCCCACTGCAAGACTTTATAATTGTGAAATAATCCCGAAAAATCGCAAACACGGCAGAGATGCCAAGTTTAGTGGCTAAAATTTATTTATTTTTACAGTCAGAAAAATTAGCTGAGGTAACGTGACAGACAGCAGACAAGCGACTAATGATGACAAACAACCACAGCAGCGGGAATCCACCTGTCACTCAAAAGTGGACACGCCCTTAATTATTCGGAAAATGAAGGCTTAATGTTATTTAAACGGATGAGTTATAAAAAAATTCACCCCCCTCACAGTTGTCATGAAGGGAAAAATTTGTTGTATAGACCAAAGCCACCTTTTGCTCCAGGCTGTAAACATGTTTTTTTCTGCTGTAAAGTTGGGCATTTTAACATGGGGAAGATGCAGATTTGACTCTCTTCTGCAGCCTGCCTCAAGCGGCCAGTAGATGAATTGCAGTTTAATTCACTTCCGTGTTGGTTTCAAGAGAGAGACGGGGAGGTTGCCGCTTGGGTTGTACACTACTTTTCAAAATGCATTCTGGGATACATTGAGTGGACTATATAGGGTATAATAATCATCACTATACATTCGGACAGCACTACAAAATGGCGAGCTCTCTATATAGTCCACTATATAGTGAGTAGTGGTAGATTTCGGACACAGCCAATGTCTAATTGAAGAGAATTGGCTTTATGCCACAGCTTCACTACTTCCTGAACTTCAGTCAGCCCTTTGTTTCCTGTCTGTCATTATTGGACAAACTGATTAATCCAGGTGTGCCTGGCCTCAGTAACAATAATCAGGCACACCTAGATTAATCAGTTTGTCCAATAATGACAGACAGGAAACAAAGGGCTGGCTGAAGTTCAGGAAGTAGTGAAGCTGTGCATAAAGCCTATTGGCACTGTCTGGTTACTTCCGGTTTCTGGACTGGCTGCAGTAACACGTCTTTGTCCATGCGGGGGCGCTCGCAGGCGAGTGCAGAATGAAAAGTAGTCTATGGGGTTTCACCCCCAGAAATCCACTTTACTCAGGATGTAATTTTTTGTCAAGTAATCTGAAAGTTGCATTCAAAAGGGAGGGCTAAGATAAAACACTCAGCTGAAAATTGCATTTTTAAGTTCACTTATCTGTTCTAAAAACCCGTTCAAAAATGTGATGACGTCACATTATAGCAGAATGCTAGCGTGTTCCGGCCAACAACGGCCCAACCTGTAAGAAATCGAAAGGACATAAGTACTCGTTCATTCGACTTTTGGCCTATAATCTATATTGAACATGCGTAATCAACAATAAAATCTATGTTGATTCAACGACAAGCAGGAGAAAGAGATACATTTAGCCGTTTAGCTCCATAGACTCCCATTCATTCTGCACTCGCCCGTGATCACCTGATGATACACAATGGGGCTAATAGGAAGTGCCAAGGCTCTCCGTTAGACGGGCTCTGACATAACTCGGCTGTACTCCGAGTCCAAAAAGTCCAAGTCCGAGTACAAATTCTCCCGAGTGCATGACAAGTCCGAGTTCATTCAAAATTGGACCCAAACCAAGTTCAAGTACTCCTCTACAATTTAGACAGATTTGACAACTTGTTCAATCAAGTCTTTGAACAGAATCGACTTGAAAGAGTGATTAATTTGTGAATGGAGCATCGCTCATGCCCCAGAAAAAAAAAGGAATCTTTTCATGGAATAAACTATGGAATTCGTAACTTTTATTGCTTTAAAATAATTAGCGAGAGGAATGTCGCCTAGCGTAACAAAGTAATATATTACGTCTCCTATGGGTAAGACATAATCTATAAAGGAAAATTACTAAAGGCAAACCAAAAGGAGCAGGGAAAACACAATAACTTAAAAGATACATTTTACAGTACATTTTAGAAGATACATTTCATTGTTACAGAGGAACAATAAAATAGTAGAATTCATCAAAGAGGCCCACGACCCAAACAAAAGAAAATAATAATAAAGTGGTATGATTAGCTGAAAAAAAATAATAATAATAATAATTCAAGTGATATTTTCCATTAGAGAGACCCAAGGCCCAAAATACATAACAAAACCAATCTAATGAAATTAAACAGAAATGTAACTAACCTATCATAAAGAAAAAAATAATAAACTTTACCTAACTACTCTTACAAACAGACAGGTCTATCCTACATTACTACCACATTCTAAACAAGTCAAACGATTGAAAGAAACAATCAAAGTACTTATAAAACAGGTTAATATAGATCAGGTTAATATTTAGCTAAATGATTTGCATGGTTTTATATGTTGGTAAATCATACAATACAAATAAATAAATAATACATTTATTATTTATATGTATCACTATTTTAATACTGATATCTGGTATGAATGGTTTCTGCAGCCAAAAAAGATCTCACTTTATTAGTTAATATTTTCAGCACATCATCAGATAAATTGTGTTTAAATGTACTTCACATGAACTCGACTTTTATTTTGGTCTGGAGATGTGACGTCATAAGGCTGCGCCGCAAACCTGCATATGTTGTGATTCGACTGAAGAAAGGTTAGTGGTTTTAAGCATTTAAGTTGTTTAAATCAATTCTAAATGTTTAGTGAAGTTTATAGTTTTATACGCGATGCACAACGATTATTTATTATTTAATGTAACATTCTAATGCTTGATTTAACGTTATTGAGATATTTTTTTGTGAGTAAAGCGCATTCACACATGATTCATGTTGCAGAAAATGTGCGTCTCATTTCTCTCCTTATGTAGTGAATGAATACATCTTAAACACGAATTCAGTCACTGGCAAAGTAGTGATGAAGAAACTGAGCTTTATGAAACTCCGACTCAATTGAACCAAATGATTCACTGATTCGAATCGCACGAATGACCGCGCGCTGTCGAGTTTGCTGGTCGAAACCAAGTAGTGTAAATGTAAGGAGAAAACAAACAGTGTGTAATGACAACTTTAACAAACCGACTGCAAATGTTTTCCTTTAAGTGTAATCTACAATTAAATACTAAATGTAAATATCATACTATATATTTTGTTCCTTTATTAATTTGCAGCGCTAACGTTTGTGTGTGTTTTTTGTTGTTTGACTAATCAGGCCATTAACCATCACTCTGACTGCTAAACTAGGGAGCTGATTGAGACGCACCCAGATATTTAGTTTGGATTAATGTTTCTTTCTATCAATTGTTCTCATGTTATCAATTGTTCTCATGTTAAACATGACAATATGTCCGAACACACAGAAAAACTCCTGGTGAAGCGACTGAAATCCACTTCAGATGGCGTTTATTAAAGAGGAGAGTGGAGAAATGAAGATCGAAGAAACATTCAGTGTGAAACAAGAAGAAACTGAGGAACAAACAAAGATGACGTTTATTAAAGAGGAGAGTGAAGACATGAAGATTGAAGAAACATTCAGTGTGAAACAAGAAGAAACTGAGGAACAAACAGGTTGGTTTCATTCTCAAAGCTGAACTCAGTTATTTTATCTATATTAAAATGTCCAGCTCTACAGAAATAAATTATATTTTTGAAGAATGTCATTCGAGTGTCCTAATTAAAGCGGTTTTATTTTGCATGGAGCGGTTTGCTTCAAGTGGTCAGACATGTTGAGATCACATGACCAGGCAAATACTTATGCTGCCCATTTTTTTACGTTAAAAATATAACAATTTGTGTAACATTAAACCCAATATCACCTTCTGAATTGGAAACCATGAAGAACAATCATTTCTATCACTTAGCCTAACTATACAAAAGTATCTAAAAACATTTATTTTCCATAAAGCAAATCAGTGATCAGCTTTACATCTGTTGTCAACAAGGGATTTATTTTCTCTTCTCATTGTCAAAATTGCTCATTGTATCAAACCAGTGTCTTGTAAAAATGACTTTACTCCTTTTAAAGGCACACTATGTAAGTTTCGCCACCAGAGGTCACTTAATTAGAACAATAACAAAGGCGTAGTTTGATGATGCCATCAAAGAGTATAGAAGTACCAAGAGGCGAAACTCAATAGAACGTTCCATTGCAACAAACGCACCCATGCGCAGAGCTGCAGCTCCGCCATCTTGGACTGAACGCAACACCGCTGTCATAAGCCGCTGTCCGACCGGAGGGACTTTTGCAGTTCCTAGAACCTAACGTTCCTAGAACCCTTTTTTTCGCGTGTTCCGACCGGACTAAGTTGGGGATTTTTTAGTTCCTCAGACCGTAGTTCCTATAACTCTTTCAGTACCTAGTAGGGATGGGCATTTTTCAAAAAATATTGCATTCGAATATTCGGGCTCCTAAAAATCGAATATTCGAATATTAGTTTATTTAAATGACGTTTAACGAAAAAGACGTTATTTTTTAAGTTTAATTTTTTTTTCACGTTTTTGTCACCACTTCTGAACAAGCTTACAATTAGGCAATATACACAACAAGCTTACAATATATGTTAAAGTTTTCTTTTAGTTGAAAACATTAAATAGTAGGCCTATGTGTAATAAAAAATATAAAAAACAAAAGCATTAATAAAAGCATGCTTAAGCAGCGCGAACGGGGAAAAAACGCCTAATAAAGCAGATTGCGCCAGATATCGTATAGAACGTACACACACACACGAGTCAGCATATGATTATCGTGTTTATATTGTTTCACGTTTTTATTTGAGAAAAACAATATCCACATGCAGGGGCGCCGCCAGCAATTTATGCTCGAGTGAGAAAAGGCGCTTTGCTGACAGACGCTTCAGAGACACAAAGATAACGGTGTTCTAAGTTTCTAACAGCACTTTGCGTTTTCTGTTCTTAAACCTGTCTCCCTCAACGAAACTTAAAGGAAGTATATGTCTCAAAATCATTTTGCTATAAGATAAGTTATCATTTCGGATCACGCGGGGTCCAGCTGCGCTTACCCAAAGTCCTTTTAGGCAGTCTGCAGTCGTGAATGCAGTGATGGACAGCAGTCTTTCCTCATTCGACTGTTTGGATTTCATGTGATTTCTCATTGTGGTGATGATATTATAACTCAGATTAATTAATTAATTCGATCAAAAGTAATTCCATTTAGTAAGATCATTTTCAAGTAATTCCAAACTTCGCGAGGCAGACGACAACATTATGTGATCAAATACACACACCTTGTTAACACACTCCACAGCGCCACCCAGTGCATTTAATTATAACTGTGAGTTAGTGCTTGGGATTTTTCATGGATTCACTGCATTTACGGCCAGCAAAGCAACGTAGTAAAATTTGAATAGTATTTTATTTTTCGAATAATAATTACAGATCGGTACCTAGTCTAGAGCGAGGACTTTTTTTAGTTCCCTTTCCCTAGGTCTACGTTGATTGGTTCAACTTATAAGTCACGCCCACTGTCAACACATTTTCTTCACTGTCTGTTGCAATTCGCCTATGTAGGCTATGCTAACTCATAACTTAAGACAAACATAACGCATTCAACCAGCTAATTGCTAATGCTTGCTAATCTTACCCGTCGTTTTGTTTGCCTCCTGCGCTCTGCTCTTCTATCTTCTTCCATCATATTACTTAAGATCATATTTCGCTGGAGCCTTCGTCTTCTGTGTTTCTCTGTACAGAACTCAAGATCTTTAAACGCCGCCGTTCGTACTCCGTTATTAAGGTCCCGGCAAGGCAGAACAGGAACATACCGAGAGCCTCCTCCACGCTGGTTTGTTGTTGTATGTGGCGCCGGCGCCGGTCGTGCTTGCGTCACTCCCTTACCCCTCCTACCAGTTCCTATGGCCACTTGGCCAGTGCGAACGCAAACAGCAAAACCGAGTTTGGGGGAGAGTAGTTCTTAGAACTGTTTAGAAGTGGACAGTTCCTATAACTAAGTTCCTGTAACTACTTGGTCGGAAAGCGGCTATAGAATTGAACGATACCGGTTCCAATTCAAAAGCGGTTAAGGGAAATAAATGGTAGTTTCTAGTTTTTAATATCTTTGTAGCCTAAACTAAAACGGCGTGTTGAATAATGTACAACAAATGTTCGTCATAGAGCATGAAGCTGTCAAATAGGCTATTTATTTACCCCCAATAACTTTTGGGGATAACTCCTGTTTTCATACGCGGCACAATTTTACAACACCAGTAACAACAGCCCATGTTGTATATTAGCTGTTCTATGTTTTAGTCTTTAGTTTTATTATAATTTAATTCATCTTGACTGAAAAAAAACTTTGTACAACACATGTTACATTTGATACAGAAAGAGAGAGTTAATGTACAGATTTACAGATGACTTTAAAACATTTCTGTTGCGCTTCTGTTTGGGCTGTGAGAGTTGTTGATTTTGGGTCCATAATATATGATGGATTCTGACTCTACTGAATAGTTTCACCATGTATACAAGAGTGTTTTTGCACTTTTCCTTGTCACACACAACTTCCCTGCACTCACTGTTGTACACCTCCATGCCGCTAATTTAATATTTTTATCTTTGTTTCCAGACATAATGTTAATGCTGTATAGTTGTGCTAACGGTAAAGCCAATGGTTCAGTCCAAAATGGCAACAGGGGCGATTGTTGTCAAAACTGCAACGAAGTTTCGCCTCTTGGTACTTCTATACTCTTTGATGCCATGAATGAGCATGGACTCATGGGAGTTGTTGTATTCACCTCCACAGTCGATGTGAAACAATCCGATGGGACTCAGGCAGAAATAATGTAAAGTTTTATTAACATAACTGTGGTATGAAGCAGAGCCGCTGGCACTCCTTTCGTTTGTTGTGTATGCATATTTTACAATTAAAGTGACGTTTAATGTCCACCTCCTTCCCTGAACTTGGTTACAGTTGCGTTTGATCACTTAAATTCACTCTATTAAAACGGCCACAAGTGCTGAATTACCACTCATACAGGTCACTTTATTCAACAAATTAAAATTGTGGGGTAACAGTGCTGTTTTACTTAGTCAAAACAATCATACTAAAATACATTTGAGTGTGTTGAAAGTTATGTTTACGTTACTCTGTGCGATCGCTCAGTGGCTGCTATGAGACACTTGTTTGCACATTGCAGGAATCTAGATCGATCTATATATATATATGATAGAATATCATAAAAAAGCTGGATGACTTGTGTTGCTAAATGGCATGCAGTTCATTTTAAAATATTTTTTTTTTACGGAAGTAAAACGAAAAAAAAAATCAAGGGTAACGCGGATTGACAGGCGACGCAATGACACGGGCCATTACACTGATTAAAATAGCTGATTTAAACATTGTTGAAAACATTTAGGATAATGTAAGTACACAAATCAATAAAATATCGTCGCTGTCGGGCGAAAACCTTGTATTTCCATATTTCATAATCTTTATTTTTTTCATAAATCATTGCTATTTGTCCCCCCTTTACGTTTGGTTGTGGGTTTTACAAATATGTAACCAACAAAAAGTATTAAAAAGAGCTTGTGACTAAACCGCGTAACACCATTGGATCCTCAAGTTGTCGGCAAAACGTTGTAACTCTACCCCACCCCCATTTTGAATTGAAGTGCCACGAACAGCAGCGCTGAAGGTAAGCAGTGATCTTTCTTCTAAGGTAGATATGTTTTAGAATTAGCCCTAGGTGGTTGCAAACTCAGTTAAAATTATGTAATGTGTTTGTTCAAGAAATTTTGCTCTGATGTTAACATTGTGATTAGCATACACGACTCTCCTCAGCAAACTAGTCCATTTATAGTGTTGTGACAAAATTATTAGAATAAAGTTGTAGCCTGTGGTTCGTTTTATCGCTATTTAAACGCCTACTGAAGAGCCTTCGAAAGCGCAGCTTTGTTTGATGCGTTGAAGTAATTTCCACTGAAAAAGGAAGCAAAGGCGGGACATATTGAACGGCTCCTCTCCCTTTACAAATAGCCAGTAGCGTTTCATTTTTCCCTCTCAGACGGCATGTCATACTTGACAGCACCATGGAAGTGAATCTGAGTGCTCATTATTCATTGGATTCAATAGTAGAGGTGTGAATTAATTCTAGCCATTTCAGTTTTAACTAACGTACAGTTGGAAAACGGAATAAATCTGGAGCATTTCAGCAACCGAACACACATCTCCAACACATTTTTCTCCGTGACGTGTGAATGTCGCTTTGGCCAGGTTGTATTTAGCATAGGGCTACAGACACTTTAGATTCTAGAGAGCATTTGATTGAACAGAAGATGTGATGAGAAACTGAAGTCATTTTAGCGGAAGTGAAATACTAAGTTTTGAAAGCTTACCGTATATCTCCTAAATGTAAATTTTGTCATTGTTTTGGAACACACCAGCTTATTCATAACCTTAAGGCTAACATATAAAAAAAAATTGATTTTGATTTCAGGGCGCCTTTAAGATTGTCATCAGCAGAAGTAAGATTTTGTAATATCAGTGTTGTATAGCACAGATTACAGGACTGGGATCTGTTTAGCTAGATAACTGAAATCTTGCTTAACCCTTTGCG